AAAAAAAAAAACTAAAAGTTCTGACATATTATGTATTATTTGAAAGAAGAAGCCTCCCTTTAAAAGTTGTATCTGGCTTAGCCATTGATTTTGGTCTCACTCAGAAATGATCGATGATCAAAATAGGATTAAAGGTTTAACCTGCAAGCCATTTTGAAAGAATGCATCGGTAAAGTGCACGATGGAGGTTCATCACTGGGATCAAAAAGTAATTTACTGGTGAAGTGGTATGTTGGTCAAGGAATAGGATCAAAATCAGCGATCCATTTGATAGGAAAATTTGACTTATTTGGTGTTTACTGTGGGAAATTGGTTTGCCATAGGGAATAGACATATCCCTAGACTTCTTCTTAGACAATCAGTGATTTTGATTCATTTAGTGTATTCCGTAATACAGTAAGGACTAATGGTGGGAAATGGATATGATTGTACTCAGCGTAAACTACCCTAATATCGCCATATCGGAGCTCTCATTCTAAGAATTTTAGGCTGAATTTTCGGTCTTCCAAATTTTCAAATTCAATCACTTTAAATTAGTAAACCCGTAATCTAGTTAATCCATTTACACTACCTTTTAAAGAAAGAATTCCGTTCAAATGATATGCAACATATTGCCAAATCTTGTTTTTATGGGATCTTTTTTGAATTGAGAAATATGCACGTACTAATGCGGTAGCTTACTGCTTATACTGACTATCTTGATCAAATCTAACTTTTTTGAAGGTGAGGGAGATTTTGCATATGGATTCCACTAGTAAGAACAGTCTACACGAAGTCTTGGCCGTAGCTGCAGTTTTGATTCCCCTGAAACTGAAATCTGTCGAAGACGATTGTTTAGGTTTACCTTGTATATTAGTCCTTTTGATTATAATCTCACCAGACTGTATTGCAGCGTCGCTTGCTGCTGCTTTTGAACAGTGTGCACATACGAGTAATTATACTCTGCTATCAATAGCAGCTGACGCCTTGGAGGTTGTCATAACAGTTTTTTGCCTAACGCATTGTCGTCGATTTGATGTTCTTCCTAATTACAGATCCAAATTTTTAGGCCTATGGACACACTGATAAGGAAAGGGATGTCGTTCATCTCTGCTTCAGCCTCCTTTCGGTTATGCCACTTACTGATTCCGATTTCAAGAGCATTCGAGGTTTTCAGAAAGTTTTAGATAATGCCATGCGCTATGCCCATCCATCGGTTAACAATGACCAGTGCAGCGTTTTTGCGTATGCCTTCCTACCTTTTCCATTCGTGCTACGTCATCGATATGCCTTGACATTTTAGGCAGTTGTTCATAAAGGTCTTCAAAGCTGTAGAAAAATTCTTGACAAGGCAGTGTGGAGTAGCGGAAGAGGTGGACGAACTTGTACATGGACTCAACAGCTTAGCACACGCTCTTACTTTCCATGAGATTTACTATAGCAGAGTTCGTTTGGAGTCATATCCATCCGTTATGATTGAACAAACGTTTTTTTGTTGTTTTTAAGTATTTGTAACTTCAATAATACGCCCTTTTCAGATTATTGGCACAATAATATCTGCAGTCATCTGTCAAGTAAATGAGCTAGAGTTTGCCATATACAGGCTTCATTCTATAAGTGATAAACACAAGTGAGTCTTTTAGATTGTTCAATGTTCATTTGTCATCATTAAAAAAAACTCAGATAAACTATTTTCTACTCAATTTCAGCACTGTTCCGTATATTATCTTTAGATTTTTCTTCATTTATGATGTGTATGGTCTTTTGGTTTTGCGATAGATGAGATTCTGAGATACTCCATTTAGGATGGTTTTTTGTTTGTGATTTTCATGACTGAAATGTTTTCAGCGCTTCAATGCTCGCTACAAATCTTCCTCCATCTGAACGACTACAATACAAAAGACTTTTTTCATCTATCAAGAAATCAAAAAAACTTGTAACTTAGGTCTTCTACAAAATCTATGATCTCAGATGTGGAGATTTGTTCATATATTGATCCATTTGAGATTTTGATCTTTATCAATGTTATTATTACTGTTGCTTGTTGGTAACTGTTGAAAACAGCGTGTGATTCAAAAACAAATGATTCAAATTTTTAGTGAATAGAATATTGTCCTTTTCATAAATCTGTATCTTCTACGATATAAGGAGTAGCAATTCTTCGGATGTACATATTCGTTTGAAAACACAGGATGTCCAATGGAGAAGTTCCTGTCTTACTCCAATGAGGACGGCCGTTACTTGTGAGTGGCAATAACGCAAGCACCGCGCGCGTCGAAATACGCGAATAGCAGCTGTCGGATAGCTCGGACAGCAGAGGACGCATCGTACAGACTCATGCAAGGCAACCTCAGTGGATTGAGTTTCTCCGAACACAATTCGCAAGATCTCAGGGAAGAAACGATGCGTACTACGACCTACCGTCTATAAATCTCAAGATAAAGAAATACAGAATATCTTGTAGTATTCGTATGCCGCATTGAAATATGATTTTTTTGGAAACGCCCTGTGTGGAGATACGAATGTTTTGATTCGGTAGCCAAGAAGTTGTTGTATCAGAATAGAAAAGAGCAACACGACGATGATGTTGTAAATGACTACCTAATCATTTTCCTCCAAATAATTCAAATGGCAATGAACGATAAAAGTGCGAAATAACTCTCTACGTTCTAACAAGGAAACAAGATAGATTGCCGTAGTCTTATAATTGCTAAGCCCCTAAAGGAAAAGCACAGAGATTGTAATAGCATAGTCTTTCGATACTATCTGAGGAGTCTCATTCCATAGGTTGAACCCCGGATCTTGAGCAAGGCGGCGCCACCCAAATCTAGGTAGCTGGGTGCGCGGGCGTCTCGCGTCGCGGCAGGTACATCACGCAGCCATTGGAGTATGAAAAAATCGCTTTGGAAACGTCTTCCACTATAGTGAGTTTAATGGACCAGAGGTCGTAGTGTTAATGACTTCAATGTGTGGCAAAATCCGTTTCCAGTGGATAGCACTGACGACGAGAAAGAAGAAAATGCTTTACCAATGTGATAAATAGTGTTTATAAGAAAACAAGTAATAGAATTAACTTTAGTTCCTTAACCTACCTAGTTACCTTAATCTGAATCTACATCGAAGCATTGGTTCAAAACTCCAATCAATCTCAAACTCAGGAAAACATAGTGTCCGTTATTCAGCTAGTGAGTGGCTGGAAGGCTTTCCTTGTTGTTTCAGAAAGCCCAAGAACTTCCAAAAATGGATTTTTGTTTGTTATAACACAAAGTTATGGCAACGGCCAAGAACACTGCGGATGCATGGCGGAAGGCGACAAAATCCGGAAACACTTGTAAAGAAGCACTGCATCTTGCCTAATTGGTGCGGCGCTTTTGCCTAAACATATTCAGAAAAGAACTCTTTGCTTAAAGCCCAGAAGGGAAAGGTGGAGAAGAAGAAGTGCCTCGCAACGGAAAAATAGCACCACTCGGCCGTCTCCGAACGTATAATACCAAGTTGAAGAAGAGCTTAGACGTGGCATATGCACAAATATATACATTCTAAGGGACTCATTTGTACGATAATTGGTTTTAGTAAAAAGTGCGAAAAAAACTCAATTTTAGTATGTGAGATATATGTGAATGTATTCAGTAAGAAGAGCGAACAGCTGATAGATAAAAATATGCACTTGAATACGGCCCCATTTATTCCTACTTAACCGGCTGCGCGGCGGTGGCTTTGGCCTGGGTCGCGCTTGGCCAAAGGCTGTATGCTACATTTGCGACCTTATAAGGTCAAGCCCTATGGACACAATGCCTTCTTGGCTATCGACTGAGGACTTTCCCGCTCAAAACGGCTATTAAAAGGCGGCGCACTGTCATGGGATGACTATTTAGTATTCGCTATTTGCTGTAATTCGTTATGAAAATCTGGTTTCATTTCCGCTTTATAAATTTATGTTTTAAGCTTTTGATGATGACTTTCACTGTGTTGAAGATGAGCATTTCCTTGCTTTTCGGCTTGTGAATGTATTCTTAACTACAACTCTTGTGATCAATTCATTTTGAGACGTGTTCCAGTGCTAAGTTGTTTTAACTGCAACTGACGATTTCAGTTGGAATAACTTTAAACCGGACAGTCTTGCAACATATTTTTCTTCTCTTTTTCAAAAATCTTGCTTCTCTTAGCGTACGATTTTTTTTCGAAGATGCTTATGGATTTATTGGTATCTACATGTATTTACATTGGTAGGTAGTACATATATGTACATAGGAGCAAGAACCGTTTATCATTCTCCTTTCTTCTCCTTCCTTCTCATGCGATATT